CTCTCTCTCTCTCTCTCTCTCTCTCTCTCTGTGTGTGTGTGTGTGTGTGTGTGTGTGTGTGTGTGTGTGTGTACTATAAGGGCAAAAAAAAAAAAGAATTTTTTTTTTCTCCGGTTCCCAACTGCTTCCATAAGGGGGGCTGCGGGTGCCTGGGCCGAAATCCGTCCCGAAATCAGCCCAAACTATTTTGCTGTGTATCACCCGGCACCCTGCCCGGCCCAGTTGCCCGCCGGCCGGGCTTCCCGGGCAGGTCCCGGACCAACCTCAGCCAGCTGTGCGGCACAGCTGGTAGCCTAGTTCCGTGGTCCATTGGCCCACAAGGGAAAAAAAAAAGAGTAGATCCGGCGTCTCTTTGTATGCTCGAGCTGAGAGGATTTCTACAAGTGCGCAAGCAAGACGACAGCCAATCCTCAATGGAAATGGAGATTTAATGGAGTAATCAACGCCGTTCAAGGGTCCTTCGGCCATACGGAAGGAAGCATCAAGTGTTCAGTTTATGTATCCATTGATGTGCGGGTAGAAAAGGAACCGGACTGTGGTCCCCACCAGAATGGATATGGAGCCAGAGGCATAAGGACCTGTTCTTTTTTTGCAGGGGGTGGGGTGGGGGGACTTATCCCAAACATAAAATGCTATCTTAAGTTTCCTTCGTGTAATTCCACGTCGGCTTGAGAATTTCTCTTCCTTTTTCTTTTGTAAAAATACAGCTGTCGTCTCTTCATACGGGTGAACAAATGTATTTTTGTTTTTGTCCTACACTAATTTCTTCTCTCTTACCTCACTCCAGCCACCTGTATCTATACCTCACCTGCAAGCCCTATCTATCGTACAATGCATTCAGCAAAAGCTACTACAGGACGCATAACGCACCCTGAAAACGAATGTATACAAGCTATATTTCCGGCCAGATACAGCCAAAATGAGGGTGCGTTGTGTTCGGGGGAAGACGGTAGGGATACCCACAGTCCTAAATACACTACGAGGTAAGCCTAAGCTATCCGAAAGCTATGGGTCTATGCCTACATACCTAACTCTGCTCTGTGCGGGGGTACAGCACCCACGCTTCGAACACCTGCCGCGGGCTGGAAAGAGTCACTGCCTCAACCAGACAGGAGACCCAAGCCAACAATCTCCACTGGTGAACCCGAGAATTTTTATCTTCTCAAAGTTGGATCTTCCATTTTGACTAGAGCAGGATTATAACAAAATGCACAAAAATGCCCAAGGAACCTAGCTTTCCTGGGGCGCCCGGTCGGGCACACACCCGGGCGGGCACCCCGGTCCCGTCGCCCAGGTAAGGACCTCGCCCGGGGTACCCCAGGCATGAAAAAAATCCACCGAGATGTTTTGTTTTGGGGGGATGTCCGCAGGGCCTTGCTGAGCTTTCCCAGTACTCCCCAAATCCGGCCTCGTTTTTTTTTTCAGGCATTTCAGTTTGTCTGCCGGGGGGGGTAGGAGGAGGGGGTGCAGGAGCCGGGTAGATTAGGGGTTGTCCGTTTTGCAGGAGGGGGGAGGGAGACTATGGAGGAGGAGGAGGGAGGGAGGGAGACTGATAAGGAGGAGGAGGGGGGAGGGAGACTATGGCAGAGGAAGGGAGATTGATGTGGAGGAAGAGAGAGGGAGCTATGGCGGATGAAGGCGAGAGGTAGAGCACGCGGAGGGAGGTTTACTGATCGAGGATGGGGGCGAGAAAGCGACAATGATGGTGTGGCTGGAGGGAGATGACGATGATGCGGCAGGAGGGCAGCAGGCGACGACGATGATGGCTCGGCAGCGTGACGACGACAATGGCGAGGACGACCACGGCAGGGAAACGATGGCGCGTACGACGACAGCAAGGCGACAACAAACTGGCGCAGGGTGTTGTCCACACGGCGGAGGGAGGAGTGCGGACGGCGCAGAGCCACGAGCGAAGTCCCGAGATTCGAATTCAAACTCTCGGGGCTTGGGTGCCGTCGATCAATGCAGATCGACAGCCCAGGCAGAAAAAAAAGAAAAAACACGAAACAGGGCCTACCGGGCCCCGAAAAACTTCGCGCCCACCGCCATTTTTGTTTTTTCCCTCTGGGCCATAGGCCCGTGCCATGAAAAAAGAAATTCAGTGGTTTTGGGGGCGGCACTGAGAGGGCCCGGGTGCCTGGCCGGGGGGGCCCGCAAGACCAGGCGCCCCGAGCGCCTTTCCGGGCGCCGGGGCTGGAAAGCTAGCAAAGAACCAAGAAAAGAGAGAAAGGAAGAAGGCACACACAGAAAAACTGAAAAGCAAACAGAAATCAAAAGGAAAAAAAAAGACAAAACCGATCTAAAAAAAGAAACATAAAGAGTGAGTACGACTGTCTCTCTCTCTCTCTCTCTCTCTCTCTCTTGTCGGGCAAAATTCCGTGCTGCAGTTTGAGGAAGAAATGCAAGATGTAAAACGCAGCGGACGACAGTTGGCAAATACAGGAAAAGGTATACACCTTCAACAGAGAGTGTGGGGGCAAACGACTATTGTTATGGGCCCAACTTGGGGCCTCCGCCGCCGCCCAGATATTTATCCAAAGATGATAAATCTGCAAGAGCAATCATCAGAGTTAGAGAGTAGCACAGTGCCGGAGACCACTAAGTTTTAATTCTGGCAGTTAGACAAATGAAAAAAAGTCAAAAAAAGGCCAAAAGAGAAAGTCCTGGACAAACAAAAAAAAACAGGGCCGAGGGGGGGGGGGGGGGGGGGTGTTGAGGAAATGCTTGCTCGATTTCCTAAAACGGTAAGCAGCATGCCAGCATGTGAAGATAGTAAGGTACCTGATATCCACAGCGCAGAGTCCTGAACATGTCCCCAACATTGCAACAAATGCATCGTCTGAAATTGCACTGCCGGACAGATCCAAGATCTCCCATGTGTCATCTGCTAGTGCTGAAAGGACCTTGTCATCCAGCAATCCACGGCGCCTCGCAATTGCTAGTAAAGATAACTAAGGGCGCATGTAGCCGCAAAAGCGAGTGAGATTCGTAACAGCGTCCCAAAGAGCAGCAGATACCACAAAAGTTGAGCAACAACAACAACAACAAAAACAAAAACAAAATCAAAAACAAAAACAACAAAAACAACAACAACAACGAAAACAAAAACAAAAACAAAAACGAAAGTGTCGAAAACAAAAACAAAAATAAAAACAATTGCAGCCGCAGCAGCAGCAGCAGCAGCAGAAGAAGAAGAAGAAGAAGAAGAAGAACATAAGAAAGATATAGTCAGGGTTGACTTTAATTCAGTTTTTTTTCACTTGTTCAGCCAGAAGTCAAAAGAAATTGAAGAAGTTTTGGTCAGACCAGGATGAGGGTTAACATTACAGTCAGGTTGGACTTAGACTCAGCCAGGTTTGACTTGGCACAGTCAGGTTAAAAAACAATTGTCTCAGACAGGTTTTACTTTGGATGGTTTGACTTCTTCAATTAAAAGTCAAACCTGACTGGAGAGGCTTGGTCAAACCAGGAAGAGGCTTTTTCTTTTCCTGTCCTTTTTTTCATAGCTTGCTGACTGTATTACAAACAGAATCTGTGACAGAAAGAGTGTATACACACACAAAGCATGCAAATGTACAGAGCCCATTACAAACAGAATCCGTGACAGAAAGAGTGTATACACACACAAAGCATGCAAATGTACAGAGCCCATCCATGTGGCTGAATGTATTACACAGAGTCTGTGACAGAAAGAGTGTATACACACAGAAAGCATGCAAATGTACAGAGCCCATTACAAACAGAATCCGTGACAGAAAGAGTGTATACACACACAAAGCATGCAAATGTACAGAGCCCATC